AATGAGTGGAGTACAGTCATATGAAGTATTACGAAAATGTGATTTGTAAGAGTAATACGAAAAGGAGTGGTGTAAAAAAGTATAGTATATCACATGAAATAATCTACTCAACAATATGATTTGTAAAATTGCGTATGTATAATAAATAATTATTGTATAATTGATAATCGATAATAACGTCAAAAAAAGTCTCATTTCATGTAAAAGAAATATTATTTTTGTGTATATAGAATAATATTTCGCTAAAAGAAGCGCGTCAATTGAAATTGGCTAATTAAGAATTAGTATTAATTAAAGATTTTAATAAAAAAATTCACAGTTGAGTATAAATAAATACAAATATACAATAATTTTTTCGTTTGATAATATACACTATTACAGTTGAGTATAGTTTTATTATCTAAATCATACACAAATATTGATTTCGCGCCATACTATACTTTTTTGGTTAACTCGATACCACTCCTTTTTTTGTCTTACCGGATTTGTAAACCTACTATTATGTAATATTATATAACAAACACCTATTGTTATATTGTACATAAAATATACTATGAATTCGTTTTTGAATTTTAAACAATTTTTTGCTTTTTAATTTGTATTATAGAATTATCTAACATTTAAAAAGAACGTGAATTGAAAATAGAATATTTTAACTGTGAATATATAATGTACAATTAAATAATAAAAGTACACAGGTATTAAGTTAAGTAGTACTGTATGGTAATATAAATTCGGACGGACTTCAATCCTTTTTGTTCGTACGTACGTTTCTACTTTCTAACAGATAAATTTAGTACGTATGAATACTTTAAAAAATTTTCATATGACTTTGAATTTTCGTACAATTTTGAATTTTCATACATGATTTGATTTTTAATAAAAGACTTTATGTTAAAAAATATAAATATAATAATTATATAAACCTGTTCAAATTCAGGATTTACCAATTCAATTAGAAAGTCGGATATATTATCAATATTCATATTTACAATTATTTTTCTTCTTCAAAGTAGTAAAGATTGTTTATGACAAATATATAATAAATAAAACGCTAAAATCATTACATTACAAATATATAAATTAATCAGATCAATTATGTTACTCAAAATGTAATTGTACCATTTTCATTATCGAAAGTTCTATTTCATGATGCTACGATGCAATAGTCCGTTTGAGTACGGAAAAATTAAAAAATTTTTTCAGACGTCTGTCCAAATTTGTAGTACTGTACAGTACTATTTTGCTATATATTTTAGTGTACTTCAAAAATTTATATAACTGTACGTACTACTGAGTACAGTGTACTAGAGTACCATACTCAACAATTTTAATCATTCGGTATAACGTAATGATGTTTGTTATATAATATACTGAATATTCCCTATAATATTACTAAATTTAGAATAGTATCTGCAATATTCCCATGTGTATTACTTAAACTGTCGCAATTTGCCGTTAACTAGCCACTATTATATTCAGTTGAGAAAAAAAAATTTATTTTCGGCACCACCCAATTTTTTTTATTTCTCAATTTTTTTTTTTTATAAAATATTTTTTTTTTTCTAATTTTTCAGAATGACTGGAATTTTGAACAAACAAACGAACTACAGTTAGTTCATTTCATTTATTTTTTTTTTTTACTTTTCTTTTTATTATGAAGGAATATATTAATATTTTTTTTTTCTTTTTTTTAAAGAACGAAAAAGAACGAACAGACAAAGTCCAAAATCGGTTCTATAACTATAGTACAGCCATATAGTCTAGTCAATTAATATCCCTACTTTCTATTTTATAGGCGTATAAAGTTCAATTTATCAAAATTTCACACTTCAAATCTTTTAGGTTACTTTGAGTTAAATGGTAGAGAATTGGGAAGGGGACAAACATTTCATTTTAGGGAAGCAGAATTATAGAAGTACATGATATTTCGATGAAGTCTAACAGGTGGTGAATAGCATCAGTCCGAGGAGAAGGGGTCAATAGGACCTGCTACGGAGGAATATCATACTTCTGATTGTATAGAAGGTGTGGACCTCTCGCTTGGTAGGTTCAATCAAAGTATGCATATTATGGTTAGCATCACCAGTGTAAATGACTACCTTGAAGTCCTACCGCTAGTTATTACTTTATTATGTATAGTAAAAATAATGTATATAGTCATATGAATAGCATCAAATTTTTTTTTAATAAAGTTATATCTGTTTCTGTAAACTGCAATGTAATAAACGTGTTTTTATAAAAATGTGTATTTGCATCATACATATCACCTGACAATATTGAAGTAAATTCGTGTTATATTATTTAACCTTAAATTAAAAATTCCCATATCGTTTCTATGTTTATTAGATAAAAATTTTTATTTAACTATTTCAAAGAAAAATTTTAAAAAAGTCTTGAGATTAGTCCTAAGTCGACGTATTAACCCGTTCCTATTAAAAAAAGAAAGAAAACGGTTAGTAATTGTTCAAATGAGAAAGAATTCAACAGTCTAAAAACACCCACTCACAGTCCGCTTGGGAAATCCAGAATGAAATTCTATAAAATAAAAAAACGGTTAGTAACCGTTCTAGGAAAAGGAACTAACAGTCCAAAACCAACCTACTCACCATATAGAAGTTCAGAATGAAATGCTAAAAAAAAAGGAAATTCAATAGTTTAACACCACCCACTCGCCACAAGTCCGCTTAGAAAATCCAGAATGAAATTCTAAAAACAAAAAAACGGTTAGTAACCATTTTAGGAAAAGGAGCCAACAGTCCAACACCACTCACCACAAGTTCGCTTGGGAAGAGTCCAGGACGAAATGCTAAAAAAAAAAAAAAGGAATAATGGTCAATACCGTTTCTAGAAAGAAAATAAGAAAAAATCTGAACTCTACCTTAAAGAAAGTATAAAAAAAGTTTACCAACCGACCCTATCTAAAAAAAATAAAAAGGAATGGTAAATACCGCTCTTAAAAGAAAAAAATGGAAAAAAAAATTCTAAAATTTACCTTAAAGGCATAAAAAAACATACCCGTTCCTATTTAAAAAGAAATGGAAAAGGTATAGTTAAATACCATTTCTAAAGAAAAAAAAATAATAAAAAATAAAAAAGTAAAAAAAAATCTTCGAAGCTTACCACAAAACGTAAAACTGTAATTATTAAAATTTTATTTTTTTGCCTCAGATCGAAATTGAGGCACCTCAGATTATCAATGATTCACATTACGCACCTCACATGACGAATTCAATCTAAAGTGCGAACGAAGATTCATGTATTTAATGTATTTAAATTATCAGATTTATAACTAAGTTAAATCTGAAACAATTAGAATAAATCAATAATCAATCTTTTTAGTTTAGTCAGCCAATCAAATAATTAAATAATCTCTGACAGCAGCAAAAATTATAATCATGTACAGTATTCTTCCGAAGAAATTTTCCTAATTCTACACAAAGCTGAAGAAAAAATTTTACCCTAAGAATTACCATTCTTGGATTGAACCCGTGACTTAATAAATAAACATTGAACTTAAAATTTTTTTGCAAGTATTTAGTTATTAAATTATTTTATATCCTGCATAAAAAGGAACTACCGTGAAATTCGGAACTAGGATTTCTAACTCTTTCGTTCCATACTAAGATTACCGAGTTAATAGGTGCAAACCTGTTCATTTTACGTAAACAAACATTATATTATAATTCCAACCTAAATTCTCTCGTTTTTTTTTCATTTTTTCTGACTACTAATCCAATTTCTAACTGCAGTTAATGTTTTAGGAACATCAACACCGTTATATAATCGAGATACCATTGATTGATTAAAACTAATATAATGTGTTGAATTACGAGATACTCTATATAATATTACTGTATATAATGATATATCTGATATTGTAGGTACTTTGAATTTCTATAGATACGTCTGAACTTAATCCAAAAATGGTGATTCTTGGGGAAAATTTCTTCAGAAGAATACCTTCTTGAATCAACACTGCATAAGTCATCGCACCCTACTGACTCCCTTGCTATAAAATATTTATTTATATTATGCAGAGGGGTGATGATATGGTTACAGGTAATTTTTGCATAAACAACGTATAAAAGCGTATAAAGTATAAATGTATAATGACTATAATCTATACGTGTCATATTACTATTTATTGAAAACTTGTTTTAAAACCTGCTTTTCTATATACCGAGTTTTTGAAACCTGATTAGTAAATATTTTAATTGTAATAAAAATACTGATTGTTACTTCACACTTTTTCAATCATATAAGACTTTTAAGAATTTGAAACAAAAATAATAAATGCGAAACCTAACATCATCTATTTCGATAGCAAAATAACAAAATATTGTGACGCACAAGTTTCTTTTTGGACAAACTCAGCTTTCATATCCTTGCATACTCCACAAATTCATCTCGTAATATGCTGTATTATGTTATGTTATCCAATAACATTATTTGCAATAAAAAAATTAAGTGGTAAATACAAAATATATTGTGATAATTAAAATTACCTTCTTAAAGATTGTAATTATTTATTATTATTATTATTTTAGACTTTCAAAAAATGCAGGTTTAATTGGATTATTTTTACTGGTCATTTTCAACTAGTATAAAATTTTCTTATACTGTAATACTACGTATAATGTATACTGTACTAGTGTACTGTCTATAAACAAACAAATATTCTATTTTTGGTAATATTGAATCTGACACGATTATTTATACAGCTATATTAGAGTTATATGATATAAAAAGTATGTAATTCAGTCCAAATTTAGCAGAGATAATTTTTTTTGTTATCGTCATCAATATTTTTTATCTTTGCCAATACTCCTTTATTTTCGTCAAGTCTTTGTCAATATTCTTTTCGTCAGGTCTTCATCAATACTCTTTTGTCTTCATCAAGTTTCATCAATACTTTTTTATCTTTATCAAGTCTTCGTCAATACATTTTTTAATAATCTTTAAATTCCTATAAGTAGTATTTAATACTCTTAAATACAATGCCAAAAGTAAAAAGTAAAAAAATTGAAAATGTTCCTAAGGAAATTACCGACTATCCTAAATCAGATTCTATATTATATACAGATGGAAAAAGGAGTTATAATTACAAAATTAAGCAAGAAGGTTTATATCCTCAACCTCCAATATTGGCATATACCCAAGGAAAAAACAAATATAAAATTCCAAATGGATATTGTGTGGAAACTACTTGGGGTCGTGGGGAAAAAAAGAAAACTGTAAAGTGCTTTATTAATTATGTAGAAGGAAAGCCACTTTTTAAAATTATGTATGGTATAAATTTCTCAGAAGAAGTCCAATCAAATATATCTTCAACAACAGCAGCAAATGCAGTTCTGAAGGTTAGCTTATCGAATTTTTTTTGTGTTAAAATCGAATTAAATATATTTAATAATTAAATTTTATTATCTTTTTTTAGAAACTTTTTCCCTTAAATGAAAAATCATTAATTTCTGGAGTACATCTTTTTGGCATTCATCTAATAACATTAAAGCAAGCTAGAGAAAACATAAGAAGTACAAAGGAAAATAATATTCAATTAATATCACTTGAACATTGTAGTAAATCAACATTAAATAAAAGGCAGCATAAATTTGGAAATCAATTGAAACAACATGTTCAAGTTGAAGGATCCAAAATCTATGGTAAAGATCAAGTTGTTCTTAAGCAAATTTCTTATAGCATTAGAGATATGGATTTCCAAATTGATTATGAGGAAAAAAACGATATAAAAGAAAAAAAGCTTATTTCAGCAGTACAAGCTATTGATTTAAATTATATTCCTCGTGAAGGTTATCGAGCATTAGCTGCAGTAGAATCTAATTTACAACGTGAATGGGCCATCTCTAAACAACGACTTAAATTAACAACAGAAATGAATCAGAAAATACCAATTGCTCTTATCAATCTTCCATTGGATTTTGATGAATATTCAAACTCTGAAATAATTCAAAATATCAAAAAAGGTGGAACTCGGAGCGTTAAAGACATTTTAAAGTATATTGTACCCACCCTTATTTCTAATGAAATATTGGATATTAATAATCCAATTATCCACTTAAGAGTTTCTGGCGATGGCCGGAATGTAGGTAGAAAAATTAAGCATGTAATGATAACCATAGCAATTTTGAATGACATACAAAATATCCATAAACCTGACCACTACTATACAACCGTTCTCTTTTCAGGTGTGGAGAAATATGAGGTTTTAGAAATTATGATGGCATCTTTTATTAAAGAACTAGATAAAATAAAAAAAATGGGCTAATGATTGGCAAAATTATATGGAATTTTGTACTTTATTTCAGTTCTGACTGGAAATTTTTATCCATATGTTTAGGATTCAATTCAGCAAATTCGAAATTTTTTTGCCCATGGTGCCAAGTATCAAAATATGACCAATGTAATGATTGGAAAATAAGTAAGAAAATGGAAAACATTCATAAATATCCAGGTCATAATAGGAAGCCACTTTTTAATATGATTCCACTGGATAATTGGGTACCAGATGAACTTCATATTTTGCTTCGTATTTGGGATCGTCTCTGGTGTTTAGTTTTAGCCGAATTAAAAGAATTTAATCAATTTGATGATATATGTCGTGATGAAATTGTTAAAGAAATGAATAGGATTGGTGTTAATTTCCAGTTTTGGCAAGAAAAATCCAATACGTGGAACCACACATCATTGATGGGTGATGACAAAAAGAAAGTTTTAAAAAATTTTAACTTTAAGCGTATATTACCATCTTCACGTGCAAATGCAATCCGAGAATTATGGGATCACTTTCATCAAATTTATCTCAATCTTAAATTGAAGAATTACGATGCACAACAGTTTCGATTCGAAGCCGAGGATTGGTTGGAATTATTTAAGGTATTATACATGCCAAGTGATATAACTCCATATATGCATGTTCTTGTCTGCCATATGTCCGAGTTTATGAAAAGACATAAACAATTTGGCATAAAGGCATTTTCGTGCGCGGCTGTTGAAAAAAAAAATCACCAGCAAGTAACACATTTTTTTAGACAGACAATGAAAGATGGAGGGAAAAACAAAAAATCAGCAATAACTGATATTCTTGAATATGAAAATAGGGTTCTATTTTATTTATTTGATAATGTTGAAACTTCAACACCAAAACCAAAAAAAATAAATTTAAAGTAATATTTTTTGGTTAGAGCGGTAGAATTAATTTATTTGTATTACATAGGAGTGATAGAACTGATTAAATAAAATGATATATTAGTAACAATTTGTTATATTTGTTTTTCTTTGACAAATGGCTTGGATAGTTAGGACGTGTATTTTAAGTAAGAAATATTCTAACAATTCTCATTTCCTTTTTCTTATATTTATAAGGACACCAGCTTTTTGGAATTTGACGAAACCACACTTTCAGTTAATGTATTTTAATGTTTTTTCTTTCCTTTTTTCTTGTAGAATTAATGACTTGAATGTACAGGTAATTTAATGCACATATAAAGCATTAAACTATATTTTATTCAGTGGAATAAACTTAACGAAGTATGTAAATGTTAGTATTTATTATTGTTTTTTTTAAAGTTTTAATATTAATACTGTTTATTTTTTTTAAAGCGCAATTTTCTTAGCTTCTTGAGAGGTAAATATACTTGGGTAGACACATAGCGTTTTTAGACTGGTATTAATGCTAGAACTAACATCTGGCAAGTATAGTTTGGTAATATATGGTGACATAACTGCATTTTGAAAGGACATTAACTATTTTCTATGTTCTTTTATCACTTTTAGATACCAACGAAGCGAGTGAGATTGTACCGAAGCATTTTGAAGAAAACTGTTTTACATTTTTTAACTTTCCTATAAGGCAGTATAGACGTAAGTAATTTCTAATTTTGTTGTGATGCAATAATAATAAATAATTTTTTTTTAAAAAAAAAAAATCTTGTTGAATCAAGCCAACTAGACTATATTATATGTCCAAACCATAAACAACGGGTAAGTCTTGGTAAAAACTAGAAGAGCATTTTTTTATTTCTTTCATTTTTTGTAACTAATTACTGCGTTCTTTTTTTTTTAGTTTCGTAAAAAAAATATAGTTTATAAATGAAAGGCTCGGGAATGTTAGAGATATCAATCCGTAATCGTATTAAAACAATATTCTGGGTGGATTGATGATCTTAGACGGTTTGCTCTTCAGGTATTGGACGTGTGGGAATCTGGTGGTACGAATATCCATATTTTTAGGCTTATTAATGCCTTATCTGTTATATATACAGTTCACCCTTACTATAGCGAATCTTGTGGGCTGAAGATCAAAATTCGTTATAGTAAGAAAATTCGTTATAGTGTATAACGAATAAACATAAGATTTTCGTTATATCAAAAAAATCATATAATCACGTGATAAATGCATTATCGCACTATTATTAAATACCAACCAAATTTATTTGGCAATAAAGATAAAAAAACAATAAAACAAAACCAATTATATTCAATTAACGAGTGTTCTTTGTTATTTATTATGAACTCACATACAAAATACTTTTTATATTTTTGTTACTCAATGACTATTACTTAATTGAGTATGATACGAGTACTGTAATACTGTCGTACATCATTTATAAAGACTATTCTCATCGATTTGATATTCAATAAAACCTTGGTCTTCTTCATAATTATAAAAATCAAACTCATTAAAATACAAAGCTTCAAAATCAAAATTTTCAATATCAATAATATTATTATCGCCTTCCCTTTCCCTGTTCATAGTATTATTATCAACTGGATCAATAGCAGTGTTATTTGGCTTGAGTTTACTACCTTTATCTGTAACGAATAAATCTAAACTTGATTGTTTTTTAGAAAAAAAATTATTTCTATAAACAATTTTTCTAATTTTTTTCATTACCTTTAATGCACTTTTATCAAAAATATCTTGACTATCATTTTGCTCTACATAGTTAAAAATTGTATCAAATGCAATTAAGGCCTCAGAACTCGTTACTGAAATAATATCTTTATCACCTTCATCATCAGACATAGTATTATTTTCTTTAAGAATAGCAACGATCTGCTCTTCAGATGGGGGTATACCGGCATTTTCATTCTCCTGGTCTAATCTAATGTATTCTTCAGCAGTAAGAGGGTGTGTATACTCAAGCTTATTGATTAAATCTTGAATTTCTCTATATTCATTTTCTTCTGTCTCATTATGCATATTCTCTTAAATTTCATTATAAGAATTCGTATCATCTGGCAAAATTCCCGTTTTATTCCAGCAGTTAAATATAGTTTTAGGAAGAACTTTATTCCAGGCTGACACAACATATTTAATAGCTTTTTTGATATTGATTGGAGATTTACTATTTCCTGTTAATTGTTGAAAGTCAAAAGCCTTGATACGATTTTGAAGGAGCAATTTTCGATATTGTGCCTGCAAAATCAAATATTGTAAGTTAGAATTTCTTAATTATTAAAATTATATTGAAATTTTAGTACCTTAAAGCTATTTATAATACCCTTGTCGCATGGTTGTAAGTGTGCAGTTGTGTTAGGAGGCAAAAATTCAATTTTTATATTGGTCAATTCCACACCTTCATATAAAGCATGGACAGGAGCATTGTCTATAAGAAGAAGAATATTTCTTCCTTTTAATCTCATTTGTGCATCAAACTTACGAATCCAATCATTCCAAATAGAAACTTGCATCCAAGCTGTTGAATTCCAATAATATTCTACTGGTAAAGATGTTTTGGATAAATTCTTTAAAGGACGAGGATTTTTATATTTGTGAATGAATACTGGTTTGAGCTTTTCAGTACCAGTTGCATTAGAACAAAGGAGAATTGTTACCCGATCTTTAGATTGTTTTTTTCCAGATACAGGTTTATTGGAGATCGTCCTTTTGGGTTCCATTTTCCAATACAAACCAGTTTCATCACAATTGAAAACATCTTCAAGACTATAATTACGAATCAAATCTTGAAGGTTTTTTCTGAATTCATCAAGTTTATCAAGAGGTGCGCTTGCAGCTTCTCCTTGTTTTAAATAGCAAGAAAGATTATGTCTTTTTTTAAATCCACCAATCCAACCATTACTTCCTTTAAAATTTTCAACTTTATATAGAGAAGCAAATGCTATAGCTTTTTCATGTAAAACCTGATCACTAATATCAACACCATTTTCTAGAGCCTTCAATACCCATAATGTAAGAGCTTCTTCAATTTCTGGAAAATTCAACTTATTTTGTCTTTTCCCTTGGGCTTCGGGTGCTTGAGGGTCAATTTCAAGCCATTTTTGTGATTTTTTTAACGTATCACTAATGCATCCTTCACTAACATTATATAGTTCCGCAAGTTCTTTATTTTTTATATAAGGTTCGTTGATTTTTTTAAAACATATTTCATGCTTTTGGGCAATAGTTAAAGATGCTCTTTTCGGTAAAGTTCTCATTTTATCTTTACCTTTAGCTTGGGAATATTTATTTAGTGCACTTTTAGTTTTGGGCATAGTGACGTGTAAAAAAAAGAACTAACTGATCAAGGTTATATTTGCCGTATTATAATAAAAATAAATCATGATCTTGTTTATGATAATTTTCCTTTTTAACTTTAATCACAAAAATTCTAACCTTTAAAGGCAAAATCGAATTGTTCGAATTGTTCAAATAAAATTTCATGTGATCAAAAATTCGCTAAATTATTGTGTAACATTTTAAAAATTCGGTATAGCAAAATTCTTCGCTATATGAAGGGTCATTTTATTATAATTGTCTTAACATTTAAATTCGTATTACGAGTTAGAGAATTTTTACTTTAAAATTCGGTATAATAAGAATTTTTAATTATTAAAAAATATGTACCCGTACTTTTCTTCGTTATAGTAAGTTATTCGCTATAAAAAAATTCGCTATAGTAAGGGTGTACTGTATTCTTTTTCTTTAAATCATGAAACGCTTATTTATAACGTTCTTTTTCTAGATTTCGGGTTATTTAATTTTATAGTTTCGGAATGTTTTGATTGCCAATTGAGTGAATCAGGTAAAACATTCTAAATTTTCGGTTCTATTATTATTATTACCCTCTCCGTCGTTCTTATGTATTTATTTTTATAGATCTCGACGAAATTGATGACGCCCAAAGAATTTGTTAGATAAGTTTAGTTTAGGTTCAAGATTGAAGTGGTAAGTTTCGCAATAATTGGGAATTTTATTTTATTTTATTTTAAATAGAAACGTCATCTAACGTTTCTTTTTTTTCCTTTTTGTAGGTTTCGGACTTTTAGGTTAATGGGAAAGTGATAGTGGTAAGCTTTGCAATCCCCATTGCGAAACTGTATAACGAAACGTCTTACCAACGTTTCGACTTTCTCTTTTTTTTAGACAGCTGACTGGACACGTGAGATTTTCTACGTAGGTTTTAGATTCGGGTTGGGGACTCTTGAAATTTAAGTTTCGCAGCATCCCGTTGCGAAACAGTTTTTACACGTTTCTTAATTTTATTTTTTTTTGTAGGTCCTCCGGAGTATCGATTAGAAACGCTGGACTTGGAAATGGTAAATTTCCTTACTATTCTCTTTTTTTTTAATAAAAATAACGTTTCTTTTTTTTTTGTTTTTGTAGATCTTTCGGGTTTCAGTTTGAGTGCTGAAAACTTTACGTAGGCTCCTTTTGAGGTGTCGTCATGTATCTGTCTCTTATACACATCTAGATGTGTATAAGAGACAGCATTATGCCTATTCTCTTCAATTTCATTATAAGAATTCGTATCATCTGGCAAAATTCCCGTTTTATTCCAGCAGTTAAATATAGTTTTAGGAAGAACTTTATTCCAGGCTGACACAACATATTTAATAGCTTTTTTGATATTGATTGGAGATTTACTATTTCCTGTTAATTGTTGAAAGTCAAAAGCCTTGATACGATTTTGAAGGAGCAATTTTCGATATTGTGCCTGCAAAATCAAATATTGTAAGTTAGAATTTCTTAATTATTAAAATTATATTGAAATTTTAGTACCTTAAAGCTATTTATAATACCCTTGTCGCATGGTTGTAAGTGTGCAGTTGTGTTAGGAGGCAAAAATTCAATTTTTATATTGGTCAATTCCACACCTTCATATAAAGCATGGACAGGAGCATTGTCTATAAGAAGAAGAATATTTCTTCCTTTTAATCTCATTTGTGCATCAAACTTACGAATCCAATCATTCCAAATAGAAACTTGCATCCAAGCTGTTGAATTCCAATAATATTCTACTGGTAAAGATGTTTTGGATAAATTCTTTAAAGGACGAGGATTTTTATATTTGTGAATGAATACTGGTTTGAGCTTTTCAGTACCAGTTGCATTAGAACAAAGGAGAATTGTTACCCGATCTTTAGATTGTTTTTTTCCAGATACAGGTTTATTGGAGATCGTCCTTTTGGGTTCCATTTTCCAATACAAACCAGTTTCATCACAATTGAAAACATCTTCAAGACTATAATTACGAATCAAATCTTGAAGGTTTTTTCTGAATTCATCAAGTTTATCAAGAGGTGCGCTTGCAGCTTCTCCTTGTTTTAAATAGCAAGAAAGATTATGTCTTTTTTTAAATCCACCAATCCAACCATTACTTCCTTTAAAATTTTCAACTTTATATAGAGAAGCAAATGCTATAGCTTTTTCATGTAAAACCTGATCACTAATATCAACACCATTTTCTAGAGCCTTCAATACCCATAATGTAAGAGCTTCTTCAATTTCTGGAAAATTCAACTTATTTTGTCTTTTCCCTTGGGCTTCGGGTGCTTGAGGGTCAATTTCAAGCCATTTTTGTGATTTTTTTAACGTATCACTAATGCATCCTTCACTAACATTATATAGTTCCGCAAGTTCTTTATTTTTTATATAAGGTTCGTTGATTTTTTTAAAACATATTTCATGCTTTTGGGCAATAGTTAAAGATGCTCTTTTCGGTAAAGTTCTCATTTTATCTTTACCTTTAGCTTGGGAATATTTATTTAGTGCACTTTTAGTTTTGGGCATAGTGACGTGTAAAAAAAAGAACTAACTGATCAAGGTTATATTTGCCGTATTATAATAAAAATAAATCATGATCTTGTTTATGATAATTTTCCTTTTTAACTTTAATCACAAAAATTCTAACCTTTAAAGGCAAAATCGAATTGTTCAAATTGTTCAAATAAAATTTCATGTGATCAAAAATTCGCTAAATTATTGTGTAACATTTTAAAAATTCGGTATAGCAAAATTCTTCGCTATATGAAGGGTCATTTTATTATAATTGTCTTAACATTTAAATTCGTATTACGAGTTAGAGAATTTTTACTTTAAAATTCGGTATAATAAGAATTTTTAATTATTAAAAAATATGTACCCGTACTTTTCTTCGTTATAGTAAGTTATTCGCTATAAAAAAATTCGCTATAGTAAGGGTGTACTGTATTCTTTTTCTTTAAATCATGAAACGCTTATTTATAACGTTCTTTTTCTAGATTTCGGGTTATTTAATTTTATAGTTTCGGAATGTTTTGATTGCCAATTGAGTGAATCAGGTAAAACATTCTAAATTTTCGGTTCTATTATTATTATTACCCTCTCCGTCGTTCTTATGTATTTATTTTTATAGATCTCGACGAAATTGATGACGCCAAAAGAATTTGTTAGATAAGTTTAGTTTAGGTTCAAGATTGAAGTGGTAAGTTTCGCAATAATTGGGAATTTTATTTTATTTTATTTTAAATAGAAACATCATCTAACGTTTCTTTTTTCCTTTTTGTAGGTTTCGGACTTTTAGGTTAATGGGAAAGTGATAGTGGTAAGCTTTGTAATCCCCATTGCGAAACTGTATAACGAAACGTCTTACCAACGTTTCGACTTTCTCTTTTTTTTAGACAGCTGACTGGACACGTGAGATTTTCTACGTAGGTTTTAGATTCGGGTTGGGGACTCTTGAAATTTAAGTTTCGCAGCATCCCGTTGCGAAACAGTTTTATACGTTTCTTAATTTTATTTTTTTTTGTAGGTCCTCCGGAGTATCGATTAGAAACGCTGGACTTGGAAATGGTAAATTTCCTTACTATTCTCTTTTTTTTTAATAAAAATAACGTTTCTTTTTTTTTTGTTTTTGTAGATCTTTCGGGTTTCAGTTTGAGTGCTGAAAACTTTACGTAGGCTCCTTTTGAGGTGTCGTCATGTAACTAGCAAGGGGGAGGAGTATTTAACAACATTTCAAGGTAAGGATAAAGTGCGATTTTAATGTGCAGTGTATCTATTTTTTTTTTTGACTATCATCGATTGATCATATCTCACTGATCGTTTTCTATTTATTTATTTATTTTAGATTTTCGGCATTTACCGGTCTTTTCTTCTCTAGGTTGGCTGATAAACTGAATAGGTGGATCGGTAAAGTATTTTTTTCTGCTTTGTATTTTGATTCACTTTTCATTTCTTGCACTAAATTCTTTTTTCATTAGATCTTCCGGTTGATACAAGTAAAACGAAAAAAGAACATGATTATTATGCTTAGGAAATGAACATCAAAAAATGACATAGTAGTAGAAGGTGAACCAAACTGCTTTTTTTATTATTTCTTTAAGAAACGTTACTATCGTTCCTAATGTGTTTTTTTCTTAGATTTTTGGAGATCCGCTAGGGCTGTTCCCTTGGCAAATGGAATCACTGCCCAACCCATAATGGCTAATGACAGGGTAATGAAGGGTGAAATTAGGAAGATTACCTTATTAGCGTGACTGGGGGTTACAGCTTCCTTAAACAGAAGTTTCAACCCATCAGCAAAAGGTTGAAGAATCCCGTAAAACCCTACGACATTAGGTCCTACCCTTAGTTGCATAGAAGCCATTACTTTCCGTTCAGCAAGAGTCATGAAAACAATACTCCCTAACAAAGGTAGTAGAATTATGAAGGATTCCAGTAAGAAGAATAGCATATTAAACAGATTGGGAAGATTAACTTCTAAGTAGGAAATAAATCAATAAGTAAGGGGTATTTTCAATAATAAAAGTGGAGTAAGTACATCAGATAGAGACTGGGTAGTTAGTGAGGGGAGTAGATATAAGGAAGAGTGTAACTATTTTATAAGTAACCAAGCCAAGGTTGGCAACAGTGAGAGGAATACCTTGATTTTATCTTAGGAATCAAATAATATCAAGTTAATAGATGCTATCAGGAGAGGGAGGAATCGAACCCCAACAAGAAGCTTGGAGCTTACCATTTTACCATTAAACTACTCTCCTTATTGACTATCCTTTTCGTTGCTTAGCAAGTATTGGTTAAAAAGGGAGTTTCCTAGATTAGCCCGTTCTAACTACGGGAGATTTTGGAGTAAATAAGGATGATACAGAAAGATGCAGAGAATCTAGGATGACGAAAGGAACAATACCTAGTACGAAAATTAACAGAAGAAAAGGAAGTAGTATGAAGAACTCTCTTCTAGAGATATCTAGACAAGGATAAAGGTAACGGCTAGGACTCTCTAAGCAAACCCGATTGTAAGTCCAAATAGTATACGCTGCAGTTAAGACTACTTAGGAAGAAGCCAATATGGTGATAAATGGGTTTCGTTGATAGGCACCTGCAAAAGAAAGGAACTCTCCTAAGAAGTTAGCCGTTAGTGGTACTGCCATATTAGCTAGACAGAAAATGAAAAACAGAGGAGAGCGATTAGAAGTGTCTCTATCACAAGTAGCGATATCAAGAAAGATTTGACAGCGATTAGGTTGGGAGTACCAAGGATACGAGTAGGTATTTTGTTGTTTGCTGGAGTCGAACCAACTGGAACTTGTCCACACCTTGAACAACAAATAAGAACTATAGTACATTTTCATTTATTCAATATCGACTTAAGAAGTATAACACTTAATTTCTTTTTTTAGGAACGGTTAGTTTTGCCTTTAAACCGGTTGATGTTAATTGTAGAAATAATTAATAATCTTGTAAGTTTTTTTAGTGGAGTGAATATGCAGTATGTGGTGTAATAGCATTATAAATGACATTAATCCTCCCTTTTTTTTATTTTTTAGATTTTGAACAGACTTTTCTAGAAGATTAAACAAGTTTCCTAAATGTGATGGTATAATGGTGTTAAAGACATTTATTAATGTCTTTTTTTTATTTTTAGGTTTCAGATTTTCTGAAGATTAGAAGATTAAGTGATAAAAGTAAGTTTTTTGGGGGTAAACGGATGAGTAATGACTGTATTATAAATATTATTAATACCTTTTTCATATTTTTCAGATTTGGACTAAATTAAAATGATCTAAGGATTTCTGCAATTTGGAGTCGTGAAGCATTTAAAAGTTTAATAAAAAACTATGGAGTCAAGCCAGCTGGAATTACATTCACACCATAAACAACAAGTAAGAAGACTAAAGTAAACATGCATTCTTTTTTGGATTGGGTCCTTTGTTGGATTTTTAGTTGGATTTTTGGTTGGTTTCTTGTAGTTATAGCAACATATAAATAATTGTAAATTAAATAAATAAATAATAAATGAAAGTAAAAAACAAAATGTTATTTTGCATTATTTTATATCAATTTCACTTTCTATCGTAATGCCTAAACAATGTAAATTTTGGCCGGTATTAACATAATTTCAGCCAAAACTTAACTTTATAGTAGCATGTATTAATTTTTATTTTCAAGTCAATATTATAAAAATTTTGCATATTATGTGATGCTTTGGTAATACTTAAATATTAAAAAATAATTAAAATTTAAATTTTGGGTGAGTAATCAAATCAGCCCATATGATATGCCAAGCTATTCATTACAATCATTTTTATCTGTCAATGAAGGCGAAAGAATTTCTATGTTGAAAGCAGCTATTAATAGTTTATCAGCTCACGTTTGGCATTCAATCAATAGTTTGATAAAGGACTCAATTTCTCAAGAAGTTGCTCGAAGATATCAGCTCAGGTTCCTTGTTTCCATGGTGCAATCTTACAGAACATTGGAATTACTTTGTGCATTAAAACCTCGTAAACAAGGTCAAACCATTAAATCACAAGTTACAAAAAAAATTTTAAAGAGGAGTGATGGATGATTAAATGAAAAGGATTTGACATTAAATTTACAACGAGGATTTCGCATCGAAAGAGTTCTAAACGCCATTGGAACTAAGTGGAACATGCTAGATGCTATTGACACCCTTACGCCTTGTTTTTTTACCAGTACGATCAACAGATGTACTAATTTCGAAATCTGGCTCAAAATTGTAGTAAGTAATGAAATAATCTCATATAATGAAGCGGATAACAGATACAAGCAATTTAAAATGTCTTCAGCATAAAGTATCAAACAAGCATGTGAGAACAATGGCGTTGAAATTCAACAGCCAAATGAGATGGATTTTAGTTTTGATTATTAGACTGTTTCCCCCTCACAGCTTCATTATTAAGACATCAAACGTTGTATTTCTTTTTAAAAAACATATTTTGGGTTGAATGTGGCATATTTTTACATTACAGTGATAATAAGTGAATATTATTATTCGGGTTTTCGAATATTTTGTTATAGATCAATTCTATTAACTCTATATTATGTTGTTTTATTGCTGATTCTTCCCATAATACGCTAGAAAGTATTTTTGGTTTATTTTTAATACAGTAAATAGGAAATGTTTTTATATTTTAATGTAAAATTTAATGTAAATAATAATGTAATATATTTTAGAGTAGAATAGTAAAAATAATATTTTTATTGCTAGTTGCGACATTTTATTGTAAAAATGCAAATCCAATTTTAGTTTTTCTTAAGTATTAATAAATAAATAAAAAATTTTAGTATTACAGAAAAATAAAATGAAAAACAAATGAATCGAATTTCTACTTTAATCAAATTAATTAGTCTTCAGAATCTTCAAAACGAGCCACCTTATTCTTTCACTTCCAAATGCTTTTCAATATAGAACGCTCAATTACAGTATTAGAATCTTATTTATGTAATAAAAATTTTTTATGAAGGGAAATTTATATTTTTTACACATTCTCATAATATTAAAAAATAAAAAAAAACCCAAAAGATTCGTACTCATACTTACGAAACTTTAGATTTTTCCATTCTTCAGAAGCCTTTCTGAGACACAGAATCTATAAAAAAAGAAAGGAACGGTTAGTAAACCGTTCCATAATAATAAAAAAAATAAATAAAACCAAGATTCATATGAATCTTGGTTCTCCATTCATTAGAAGCCCATAGTTCATTTCTCATTTTAATCAAATTTTTTGTGCAAATAAAAAAATATTTACCCATTGAATAACTTGAATAACTTGACTTCTCAATTTAAGATCATTCTTTGGTAATTTTTCTTCAGAATTATAATTTTCACAAAGATAAATCGCAATTGCGGTCACCACTCTATAAAAAATTTTTAATGAAAATGATACATTCACGGAAAAAAATATGGAAATAAACAAATTCATTCATTACGTACCTTGGAATTTAAAACACAGAACAACAACATTTTTACAGGATACTCCATAAAATAAATTTTTTTTCGCACTTTGTGTATCAAAGATCGTTTGTAATAAAGAAAAGTTCATTAATATAAATTTGTAAATTTATTAATAACTTTAATGACTTTTAACTTATTGGTTCAAATTAATAAAGTTTTTATTCCATTTTTTTTTGTCCAAGTAATAATGTTTTGCCTCCAAGATTAATTATACCGAATTTGCCACAATTTACAAAGTTAAAAAAAAAATATGGAAGCGGTTGATTTTTTTAAAAAAAAGATCGCATAATGCCCATAGCCCCATACGATAATTATTTTTATAATACTATTCGTGACTGATCTGTGATCTGTGAGATCTTGAGAAAAAATTGGACAGACAAAAAAAAATATCATAAAATAATATTATAAAGATATTGTATATATTTTTACAATATTTTATAAATAACGTATTTACAAAAGTATTGTATTAGTATTATATTAGTATTGTATTAGTATTGCAATTCACATAAAATAATAATTTTTTTTCATTATTCTTTTTATCATGTTGTTTTTATGTTGTTTAAGCATTTTATTTTGACACCGTTTTTTAGATTATCTTTATTTTTATTGTTTTAATATTGTTATTATATCATACTATTATATAACTATATTGTAAAAATATTTTAAAAAAATTAGAGGTTTCAGCAAAGTATTTAATTGTTCAAACCCCTAATCTTATCATAAACTTTTTCAATTATTTCTTTCGTAACTCCCCAACCATGTTTAGAATCTTTTATGTACATTGTGTGTAACATTAATTTAATCTTTTGTTTGAATGCTTCTATCTTTTCTATTGACTTGTCTTCTTTTAACTCAGCTTCTTCATATAATATATTTTTGTATCTTCTAATAGTGCTATCTTTACATTCTATCAAATCTGATATAGCTTCTTTATGCCATTTATAAAATTCCCCAAATCTTATATTCACATCCCAATCTTCTAGAATGTAACCTGTCCATCGTTTCATCTTCTTTATTATTTTCTATACAATCTCTCACGATTACTATTATTATTATCTTTAATCCTTTCTTTCTTAATATTGGTTGTTTCAAGTATCTTATCGATTCAACTATTACATCCAATGCATCTCTAGTCTAGAGTTCCGAATGGGTCAGGTCAGGTCAGGTTAATTGATACACCTGACCTGAAATTTTTTTTCAGGTCAGGTCAGGTCAGGTTATATCAGGTTGTCTGTTTGACCTGACCTGACCTGAAACCTGAAAAATTTCAGGACTATTTTTATTAAAGTATTGAAAAAAAATGGTACAAAACTTTTTTTTTAATATAATATTATGAAAAAAAACGTTTTTGCAACGTTTTTTATTAAAATATTGAAAAAAAATATTGCAAAACGTTTTTTTTAATATAACATTATGAAAAAAATGTTTTCGCAACGTTATTATTGAAATATCGAAAAAAAACGTTACGAAACATTTTTTTAATATAATATTATGAAAAAACCGACGTTTTCGCAACATTTTTTCTCGAAATCAACATTTTTATATTAAAATCATATAAAAAAGTGAATCCCAATACTGCAATTCACTTTTTTTATATAGAATTAATATAAAAAAAGTGAGTTGAGATATCGCAACTCACTTTTATTATATAAAATCAATATAAAAAAGTGAATCGCAATACTGCAACTCACTTTTATTATATAGTAGAATCAATAGTTTCAGGTCAACAGGTCAATCAGGTCAGGTCAATCTTTATACCTGACCTGAATTTTTTTCAAAAATCTCATACCTGACCTGAATTTCAGGTCAGGTCAGGTCAGGTTACCTGAATTTGGCTGACCTGTTCGGAGCTCTACTCTAGTCTTTCCTTTTGTATAATTATTTCTTTCTTCACTGTCAATATTTAACAAATTTAATAATGCTCTTATAGTTTCTGCATTATAATCCCTTATTGTATATTCAAATTTATGCAATATTTTCCAAAATTTCTTGAAAACTTCTGGTGTATCTTTTATCAGATAACATATTTCACATGTTATATTTTCTCCTCTTAATTCATCTATATCCACATTTCCAATATTTTCATCATGTCTTAATTTGTAATTTTCATAATCAACCCTCCAAGTTTCGTACCATTTCATTGTTGTAATTGTTCATCCAGAATCTTAATTTAAAATTTCACCTCCTTTTATATATATATTTCATTCTTATTATTTTTATTTCTAACCCTCCAAACATTCTTTACTATAATGTCCTTTCTTTTTACATATCTAACATATGTAATCTTTCTTTTTCATAATATTTTCGCTAACTGACTTAATTCTTCTATCTATTCTCTTTCTTAATATTATCATAAAATTCTATCTCAGACACGTATTTTGTAAATTCCATTTCTATCGTTCTAATTATACTCCCTTCTATTATCTGAATATCACATTCATCCTATATTTTCTTTAAATTATTTCTTTTATCTTCAAATAGATTACTTCTTTCAATCCTTAAATTCCATCTTTCAATTTCATATATTTACTATACTATATTTCACTATTAATTTCTACTGCGCCTCAAAATTTCAAAAATTATTCTAAGTTCAAGATCTCCTCAGACTGGAGAGGTTTTTACTGCGCATTCTAAAATTCATCTTTTATCATCAATATTCATAATTTCACATATCACAAACTTCAAAATTTTCATAACTTTTAAAGTCCGTGAATTTTCAGTCCTTTTTATCATCACACGTCAAATGATCAAAAATAGGCAAAAAAAATGGCGCAAATCGCATAAACTATTCGCAAATTTGTATAAACTATTTACAAATAGTATAGGTTAATTCGTAAATAGCCAAAAACAGCCAAGAATAGCCAAGAATAGCCAAGAATAGCCAAGAATAGCCACTGCTTTTCGCGCCATTTTTTTTGCCGATTTTTAGCATTTCAACCTGTGCATACACATAAATCCTCCTTATTATATATTCTATATCATTATGTAAATTAATTTATAATACACAAAATGTCTTTCTTTTCAGATAAATGTCCTTCTTTTCAAATACACAAAATGTCCTTCTTTTTAAATGCATAAAATGTCCTTCTTTTCGAATACATAAAATGTCCTTCAATGTTTTTATTCACATCTATTGTTTTATTTTATCTTCTTTTTGGACTTTACTCTATTATTAAATACTGCACGTAATGTTCATTATACGGCTCGTTAATGTGTAAATATCCTTCTATTTAATTCTCCTTCTATTTTTATTTCATTAGCCAACTTGTTTCTTAACGGGTGAAACTAACCTTCTGAAATCCAGTTTCAAAAGTCATCTGCTATCCATAAAACTCGTCTAAACCAACTTATCTTTCCTCAAATTGGTGAACCTAGAGCTCCGAATTTGACCCGATGGATCAGGTGACCCGACGGGTTGACCCAAAAAATTCAGGTCGGGTAGCAGATTTAATGACCCAACCTCGGGTCGGGTCAGTCACAGTCGGGTACCTGACCTGACCCATTGACCTGACATATTTCGGTCAAAAATAAGACGTTTCAGCATTTTATATATATAAAAAAATGCCAAACTGACCTGAATCTGACGTTTTTTCATTAAAAATAATTACAAAAACGTCTTTTTTT